TCCTGCTTAAATGTCGGTCATACCACTCGTGATTGTCGACGTAAGAAAACCTGTTCAAAGGATGGATGCCACCGCAAGCATAATAAATTGCTACATGAAAATATAACTTGCCACCCACCATCTACATCAACATGCCCTACCTACCAACCCCAACAAAACGTTCTTAGCTGTTCTGCTACAATTAACAACAAATTACTATTTAGAGTTTTGCCTGTCACATTGTATGGGGAAAATAGTCATATGGATATATATGCCCTCTTTGATGATGGCTCGTCCATTACAATGTTAGATAGAGACGTTGCTGACAAAATAGGCGTTCGTGGAAAAAATTGCCTTCTAAATATTCAATGGTTTTGTGGCCGATCTGCTCGTGAGCCATCAATATCCTTTAATGTCAAGGTAAGTGGGACCAACAAAAAGAGTTGCCAACTACTAAAAAATGTATATGCTGTTTCTAACTTAAATCTACCCATGCAAAGCCTAACGCAAGAAGATATTGAAAAAGCGTTTGAAGGGTCACCTTCTGCGCCGGTTAAATCTTACACAAACGTAGTCCCTAAATTATTAATCGGTTTGGATCATGCATTTTTAGGACTACCATCAGTGACCAATGAAAACAACTTGACGGGTCCCTTTGCTAGTGATACAGAATTAGGTTGGGTGGTGTTTGGACCGTGTCATACTTTATCACCAATGCAGAAATCGTGTTTTTTTGTCAATGTTAAAGAAGTTGACGATCTTCATCAAATGGTGGCCGATTATTAATCGGTTTGGATCATGCATTTTTAGGACTACCATCAGTGACCAATGAAAACAACTTGACGGGTCCCTTTGCTAGTGATACAGAATTAGGTTGGGTGGTGTTTGGACCGTGTCATACTTTATCACCAATGCAGAAATCGTGTTTTTTTGTCAATGTTAAAGAAGTTGACGATCTTCATCAAATGGTGGCCGATTATTTTAATATAGAAAGTATGGGCGTGAGGACATCTCCTATTGTGGAAAGCCAAGATGATATCAGAGCCAAGCGAATTTTAAGTGAATCCACGAAAAGAGTTGGTGATAGATTCCAGACAGATCTGTTATGGAAACATGACGAGGTGACGTTTCCAAACAGTTATTATATGGCACGTAAACGCCTAGAAGGAATCGAAAATAAAATGAAACGAGATTAAAATTTTTCTAAGGCCTATAAAGAAGTCATCCAAGGTTATATTGATAAAGGATACGTACGTAAATTATCTCCTGATGAAATAAAGGTGACCAATTTAAAAAAGTGGTATTTACCACATTTTGGTGTGACTAATCCCAACAAACCAAATAAACTACGATTAGTTTTCGATGCCGCCGCCACTGTATAGAACATTTCCCTGAATTCCCAATTGCTAAAAGGACCTCAAGTTATTGCGTCTTTTCCGTCTACGCTATACAATTTCCGCCGTGGTCAAATTGCCGTTGGTGCTGATATACGCGAAATGTTCCATCAAATTTTAGTGCAGCCAAGCGATAGAGTCTCCCAAAGATTTCTGGAATGATGCCAGTACAAAAAAGCCACCCAATGAATACGAAATGGTTGTCATGACCTTCGGCGCAACCTGTTCGCCTTGTTCGGCATTATATGTCATGAAAACAAATGCCCGAGATCATCAGAGTTTCCATCCCCGCGCGATTAAAGCTATATGCGATCACCATTACATGGATGATTTTGTCGATAGTTTCGACAGTGTGGAAGAAGCTATAAACATATCCAAACAGGTTAAAGTTATTCACAAAAATGGAGGATTTGAATTAAGGAGTTTTATCTCAAATTCCGATGAGGTTATTACAACCCTGCATGGTAGCTTAACATCAAAGCAAATTCCTGGTAACGATTGCACAGAAAGGGTGCTAGGTCTGATTTGGGAACCTGCTAGTGACAATTTTATGTTCAATTTAAAATTTCGTCGTGTTGATGATATTGTTATGTCTAGCCAGCGCAGTCCAACTAAAAGAGAAGTTTTAAGCGTCATAATGTCAACATTTGATCCTCTTGGTTACTTGAGTCATTTTATCATCGGTGGAAAATTACTGTTACGAGAAATTTGGAGATGTAACTGCCTCTGGGACGAACAAATACCCAAAGATTTGAATACTACCTGGGAACGATGGAGAAGTCAAATGAACAGTGTTATAAAATTTCGTGTCCCCCGTTTTTATTTTTCGTGTGGCAAGCCAACATCTCTTCAACTCTATATCTTCGTGGATGCCAGTGAGGAAGCATTTGCGGCAGTTGAATATTGGAGATATTCCTATGGTGACGGTAACATTAGTACCAGATTTATAACATCAAAAACCAAATGTAGCCCATTAAAAAGAGTTTCAATTCCACGTCTCGAACTGCAAGTAGCCGTTTTAGGGATACGTTTGAAGGAGAACATTTTAAGTGAACACAGTCTTGTTCCAGAAAAATGCGTTTTATGGGGTGACTCTAAAACTGTGCTAAAGTGGATTGCGAGTGCTCACAGAAAATATAAACCTTATGTTGCTCACCGTGTATCGGAAATACTTGCCTCTACAGATGTTGAAAATTGGAGATGGATTTCAACGAAGGAAAACGTAGCAGATGAGGCCACAAGACCATTCAATAAAGTAGATTTTTCCTCTTCTTCCCGCTGGTTAAATGGGCCAAACTTCCTTAAATTGCCTGAAGAAGAGTGGACAATAAATGAGATTGAAATCACTAATGAGGTGGATGAAGAAGAAATTTCCAAAAAGACTTCATTATTAATTACTAATAATAACATAATAGATTTTAACAGATTTTCATCGCTTAATCGTATAAAAAGAACCGTAGCTTGGGTATTAAGATATATAAACCTCTGTCGAAAAGAAAACAACGATTTGGAACGTCATGGTCTTACCTCAACTGAGGTGGAACACGCAGGAAAAGTATTATGTCTTCTAGCCCAGAGAGAGGCCTTTTCGAATGAACTGAAACACATTAAAAGTGGGCAACCCCTCGAAAAAAACAGTCATCTGTATAATCTGATGCCTTATGTTGATGATGATGGACTGTTAAGAGTGTACGGAAGAATAGATGCAGCTAGCTACTTGGCCTACAGCTCAAGGCGTCCTATTATTCTCCCCAAAAATCATAAATTTACCAAGCTTGTAGTCATGCACCATCACTGTCAGATGATGCATCAAAATCACGAAGCTACGATTTGTGATTTTGATACAATTTTGGATACCTCAATTAAGAACTTTGCTAGAACATATCGTATCAAATTGTCATCTATGCAAGATTAAAAATGCCACCGCTCAAACACCAGTTATGGGTCAGCTGCCATTTGATCGACTTGAACCAAATATTGAACCTCTTAAGTATACTGGCCTAGACTACTTGGGTCCTATAAATGTGTCTATTGGAAGAAGGACAGAAAAGAGATGGGTGGCACTATTTGCATGCCTCAAGATTTGCGCCATCCATATAGAGTTGGCTTACGATTTGTCAACGGACTCTTGCATAATTGCTATAAGAAACTTTACTAATCGTAGGGGGGTGCCTGCTAGAATTCGATCTGATAATGGAAAACATTTTATTGGTGCTGACCTGGAAGCTAAAAGATTTAGTGAAGTTTTCGACGCCGTGAGAATTCAAAACGAGATGTCAATGAAGGGTGTTGAATGGATTTTTAACTGTCCGGTTAACCCATCTGAAGGCGGCATTTGGGAAAGCCAACGAATCAGCTGACTTAAAGCCTATTACTCTCAAAAAACAATGGAGAGTCTCAAGATGTTTAGGAGAACGATTTTGGAAACGATGGGTTAATGAATATTTACCTATGCTAACTAGGAGAGTGAAATGGTGTGAACGAACTGTTCCAATTAAAGCGGGAGACTTGGTCTTCATATGTGATCCGAACGTTCCAAGGTGTCAATGGCGGAGAGGTTTGGTCACTTGTGTTTATGCTGGACCCGACGACGAGAAACCGATGTGAAAACATCCACCGGAAAGTTGCAGCGTGCCGTGTCAAAATTAGCCGTTCTGGATGTTGAAAGTGGTGAAGCTGATCGCTCCACGGGGGTGGGAGTGTTCCAGAACGAACCTTAATGGGTTATTTTGTTATTAATTCTTAATGAATGTTATTTGTCATATTTTTTGCACCGCCACTTTTTTCATTCTTCTTCGTTTTATATTCTTATTTGTTAACTTTAAAAAGAGCAATGAAAAAGTTTAAATAGAAATTTAACTTTGTCGAAGACGGGTGAAAAAACTGCGGTAAGTGACATTTTCTGATTTGTAACGCATCAAATTATAACGGTCATCTTTTTTCTACAAAAATAAACTTATATTTTTTTATGTTCATCGCAAACCCGTTTTTATTTAGTAGCAGAACAATTATAAATGTAATTTTTGCTGTAAAAAACAATTATCCATTTCTTTAAATTATTTTTTTATTAATGAAAAAATGTTTTATTAAAAAACTGGATATTTTTCTTTGTATATTTCAAGTAAAATTTGGTACTGTGTCTGCAAATAAATTCGAATATGTTTTTTTTTTATCCATATTTCATTTACCTTGCGGCATAAAATGTGATGTTGTCTCACCAAAAACTAAATAAAAATGAATTTATGCTTCTTCTTCTTCAAGGTATGCTACATCTGCTTCAATTTCAGTTGAAAATCAAAAGTGTTTTGATTTTCATCTAACCAGTGCGTGTGAGTTTTTTTTTCACTAACACAATCAAAAAAAATCCTGTGTGTGTAAATTTGTTTGATCATTGCCATCACCCTTTATAATTACTATATCTTGCCAGCACCTTATCTGAATTTGCCTTGTTTTTCTCTTACAGCTAATTCGCCTTCAAGTGCAGGCACAAGGTCAAACTACATATAAAAAATATGACCAATTCGCTTGGTATTCTGTATTCGCCGATGACACTACCTTATAAAATTAATATACCTTAAGAGTTACCAAAATTTTCGGGGTAATTTGTTTTTGTATTTGGTACGCACTGATGTCAAAAACAATAATTCCGGCGAATTCATTTAATGAAAATATTTTGTAAACTTTTCATATTTTATAAAAAATACACATAAAAATATTAAAATTTGTGAAGATAGTGGAAGAACGTCTGTTCCAAATGAAAAATTCTAATCCGTCAGATTAATTTTGCAAAACTTAAGTTTGTGTCCAAAATTATGTAAAATTAATATTTTTGGGAAAATAAGCATAAAAATGTAAAAATTTATGGAAAAATTATGTACCGAATGAAAGAATCTTTATTGTTAGTGGAAAATTCTACTCTGACGGAGTAACTTTTAAGATGAGGTAAATACCTCATATGGATTTTGTTATAAAAAGCGTTCCGAAACAGAATTTTGTTATTTAATCACATTACATACACAGCGTAAATATAAAACAATTTATTAATTTTTTTAGATCTGAAAATTTGATGGCTGTTAACATTTAATAGAAGAAATATTATTATACCCTCCACCGCCATCAGTGGTGATAGAGGGTATATATAAGTTTGTCGTTCCGTGTGTAACACCAAGAAATATTCATTTAAGACCCAACATATATACATATATATTCTGGGTCTTTATGAAATTCTGAGTCGATTTAGCTATGTCCGTCTGTCAGTCTGTCTGCCTAATACACGCTCACGTTAAAACTAAGCAAAGGAAAACAACCAAATTCACGCAAAATATTTATTATTATCCTTATCTTAGCAACTTTTCTCAGAAACTACCATAGATATTTCCATGAATTTTGACACACATTATTTATTCAAAGTAGTGATTAATTATGTTCAAAATCTTTACAATCGATCCAATATTTCCCATAGCCCCCATACAAAAGTATATATTCCCGGAAATTAGTTTATCGTTAATAACTCCCTTAAATATATCGGTATCAACACAAAATTACATGCAAATATAATATGAACAGAAATCATACTGTCAACGTAGATCTCAGTCGGTCCACAATTGGTCATAGCTGCTATATAAGGTCCACTTCCGAAAATCACATAAACATATTTCATTGATAAATAAAGCTATTATTATAAAATTCGACACAGATATGTTTTGTGTACACACAAATCATTCTACCAAATTTTTTACCGATCGGACCATTATTGGTCATAGCTCCCATATAAGGCCCACTTCCGAAAATCACATAAAGGCACATATTTTATTGTCAAATAAAGCTATCTTAATAAAATTCGACACAAATATGTTTTGTCTAAATATGAATCACTCTACGAAATTTTTTCCTAATAGACCCATTATTGGCCATAGCTCCCATATAAGGTCCACTTCCGAAAATCACTTAAACGAATATATTTCATCAAATTCTAAAGCTATAAGGATAAAATTCGACTTGAAGATGTTTTGTGTACATATAAATCATTCTAAAACTCCCATATAAGGCCCATTTCCGAAAATCACTTAAATGCAGATATTTCATTGTCAAATAAAGTTATCATGATAAAATTCAACACAAATATGTTTTGTCTTTATATGAATCACTCTAAGAAATTTTTTCCGGATAGGCTCCCATATAAGGTCCACTTACGAAAATCACTTAAACGCACATATTTCTTTGAATAATAAAGCTATCGGGATAAAGTTGTCTTAGATCCCATATAAGGTTTACTTCTGAAAATCACTTAATACTTAATACTTAATTAGATATTAAATGATTATATCCGGATAAATCATTATATTAAAATGTTTTCGAACTGACATATTAATATACATTTTTCTGGACTTAATTAAAATTAGATTGACATATGCATATCAATACGGAAAAAAACACTTTTGCCAAGTTATCTAAAAATTATATAGTTAAATGGGTTTTAATTAAAAATAGCTTGCTGGTGGAGGGTATTTAAGATTCGGCACAGCCGAATATAGCACTCTAACTTGTTATATTAAGTTTGTATATGCGTACCAATTATTCATTATTTATATAAGAAAAATATTTGTTTACAAAATGCTTGTTACTTTCAGATATTTTACATAAATTATTCAACAACTAAAGAAGCTTTTCTCTGATTTAACGGAAATTTTTAAATTAAAAATGTAAACAATAACAATACGTTTATCTTGGAAACTATTACAGATAGAATCTTCAAATTTTGCACGAAAGAAGTTGCAATTATACTTTAAATTGAATTTGGAGGACATAATGTACTAAGTAAGAAATGCGAAATACAGCCTACTTCGTTTTTTTATATAAGTACCGCGAGTTTTTTACATAAAAAGTTCCAATAGAAATATTAAGTTCCAATAGTAATATTAACGGAAGGACGGACGAGTTTGAATCGACCCAAAAAGCGATTTTAAGTTCATGGATGCACCAAAAGGAGAGAGAGGATCCATTATTCACGATGTTAGATTGGCTAGTGTAAATAAAATAATATTACGGTGTTGTTATGATCTAAATCAACTCATTTAATATGTGGAAAATGACCAACAAGAAGAAAACAAACAGGGGGATTTTTTGCAAACTTTTTTCAGAGTTGCATAAAAAGGTACTTTTTTGTGTATACACTTGGAAAAGTACATAAAAAATTTAAATAAAGCAAAAAATACGTAAAAAACGTAAACAAAGAGAACACAACCAATAACAAACTAATTGATTTATTTCTAAAATGTTGAATTATTGATATAAAATGAAATATATTGACTGTGCACCAAAATAAACTATACCGATCGATAGGGAATCGGAAAATGAATGGATTCCAGTATTTTTTTCATTTCTGGGTACTTGCTATTACATGTTATGAAGCAGCAAACTCTGAGATATTTAAATATGCTTTGTGCAATAAAACAGAAATATGTAATCGGTAGAAAATCGAAAAATGAATCGACCTCCGTATTGATTTTTGTTCTTCGTACTTGATATCGGCTGTTGTGATGCAACAAACTTTGAGTAACAGATTAAAAAGTTTTTAAACTTAAAAAATAGATAATATTGTGTGTGCACCAAAACAGCCAATAGTGATCGATAGAGAATCAATTAACGAATCGATCCCTTTATTCATTTTTTTCCGAAGTACTTTTTATTGGACGCTAAGACGCAACAAACTTTGACATATTGCCAAATCTGACGAAAATTAGGAAATAGTTTTTATACAAAAAAATTTTAAAATATTCCGTGTGCATCAAAACAGCCAATTGTGATCAATAGAGAATCGATTAAGGAATTCATCCCTATATTCATTTTTTCCCGGAGTACTTTCTATTGGATTTGGACAACTTCACAAATTTAAAAAAAAAGAGAAAGAAGTTTTTATCCAAAAAAAATTTTAAAATATTCCGTGTGCACCAAAACAGCTAATAGCATGATAAAAATATTAAGGTAGTGTCATTCCCCTCTCACAAAAAATTTTTTTGAAGTTTGCTGGTATTTTCTGAGATTTGTTTTTTGTAAACGTAAAAAAGTTGTTGCCACATACGTTAAAGGGGAAACAATTTTAAGGCTTTTGTATTTTTTATGTGTAATTTATAGATATTAAATTAGTGTATAAGATTTTCTCATTCCGTTTGTAACACGTGGAATGATTCATCTAAAACCCACAAAAGTATAAATTGGCAATTTCGTGTCAAGTGACCCAACTTTTAAAATCGATGTCTTCCGATTTGGATGAAATTTGCACCAAGGTTAGTACTATTGAATAGTAGGCCAGACACACATTCTCAGCTCTATCGGTCAAGAACTGCCGGTCTTAGAGGGGGTCAAAGTTGGACATTTTGGTCATACAGGGTTTTATTCAAATGAGTGTAGCTTATCAACTATTGTCGCGCATATGAAAGCTTATACAATTTCCTTTAATGGCTTATAGTCCCATAATGGACAGTTCTTGACCGATAGAGCTGAAAATTTGTGTCTGGCCTACTATCCGATAGTAACCAACCTTGGTGCAAATTTCATCCAAATCGATTTTTTGAGTTTGGTCACTTGACACGAAATTGCCCTATGTATACAATGGGTCCTTACAAGATTCTAAGACAGACATGTCGTATGTCTGTGGACTATGTTGTTATAAAAAAACTACTAAACGAATCTTGTAGCTTTAAATCATTTTGGTGGCCTTGGCAATGTAAATCATCGTAGATTTTTAGCGCTAGCTTTTTTTTCTATTTTTAATATTATTTAATTCCTTTGACTTTATTTTTTATATTTTCAAAAAATTCTGTGAGAAATTATTTTTTATTTGACTTTTCAATAAACAAAATATGTAGTATTTTTGGAATGAGTATGGTAGCTCGCAGGGTGCACTCATAAGGTGAAGTCAATTCAACAGCTGATCACTCATTTTTTTTATTTGAGGTAGATACAACTGTCAAAGTACACCATTTAGAGTTGCCACAATCCGAATAATATAAGGGGGCTTACCTTTATTTTTCAATTCATGTATAATTCTTAATAATTTTTATCTTATAATACATATTTACTTTACGTGAAGAGATTTTTGGGCATGTGGGATTGTCTTCTTGTAAGGTAAATTTAAAAAAACACGGTGGCAACTTGTAAATTTTTTGACAGAAGTATCTACTTTTGTTGTTTTTGTAGAATTGACTTCACCTTATAAGTGCACCCTGGTAGCTCGATTTTATAAAATACCAGCAAAAGTCAGAAGGTTAATATCAAGGTATATTAATTATAAGGTAGTGTTAACAGAGCAGCTGATTGTTTTTTGCTAATACACTTTGGATTTTTTTATATGTAGTTTGACAGTGTGCTGGCACTTTGAAGTGTAGGCATGCTGTCAAACTCCATATATACAAAATAAAATGAATTCGCTCCGTATTTCTGAATTCGCCGACGACACTACCTTATAATTAATATATCTTGGTTAATATGGCGAGAAAAAGAGATAATGACACTACCAAAGTAAATTAATAAAGTAGCATCACTTGAACAGCTGACTATTTTTTTTAAACTAGATAAATGAAGCAAGTTGTCAAAGTTTGTTTTGAAAATTGATAACATTGTTTACGTCGCCATTTTTAAATTGTGTTTTGCTATTTGTTAAAATTTGTGAAAAGTTGAAAAAGTGAATTAAAAGTGGTTTTAAAGTAGTTTAAAAGTGTAATAAATTGTATAATATATAATAATATAATTAAATCGTTAATATTTTTAACTTAAAAGTAATATTTTTTATTTATGTTTTGTTCACATTGTTGTTCAGGGAAATTTTATTTTGACACAATCTTAAATTATTCCAAAAACAAAATACATGTGGTTGTTGTAGATGTTGTTGTACAACAAGATATGTCGCTACTTTATTAATATACTTTGGACACTACCTTGATATTTTTACCATGGCTAATAGTGATCGATAGAGAATCAATTAAGGAATCGATCCTTATATTGATTTTTTTCCGGAGTTATTTTCTGTTGTACGCTGTGACGCAACAAACTTTGACAACTTCACAAAATCTGACAAAAAAGAGAAAAAAGTTTTTATACAAAAAAATTTTAAAATATTCCGAGTGCACCAAACAGCCAATAGTGGTCGATAGAGAAGCGATTAAGGAATCGATCGCAATATTGATTTTTTTCCGGGGTACTTTCTATTGGATGCTGTGACGCAACAAACTTTGACAACTTCACAAATCTAACAAAAAAGAGAAACAAGTTTTTATACAAAAAATTTTTAAAATATTCCGTGTGCACCAGAACAGTTAATAGTGATCGATAGAGAATCAATTAGGGAATCGATCCTAATATTCATTTTTTTCCGGAGTAGTTTCTATTGGACGCTGTGACGCAACAAACTTTGACAACTTCACAAAATCTGACAAAAAAGAGAAAAACGTTTTTATACCAAAAAATGTTAAAATATTCCGTGTGCACCAAAACAGCCAATTGTGATCAATAGAGAATCGATTAAGGAATTGATCCCTATATTCATTTTTTCCCGGAGTACTTTCTATTGGACGCTGTGAGAATCGATTAAGGAATTGATCCCTATATTCATTTTTTCCCGGAGTACTTTCTATTGGACGCTGTGACGCAACAAACTTCGGTAACTTCACAAAGAGAAAAAAGTTTTTATACAAAAAAATTTAAAATATTCCGTGTGCACCAAAACAGCTAATAGTGATCGATAGAGAATCGATTATCGAATCGATCCCTGTATTCATTTTTTTCCGGAGTACTTTCTATTTGACATATTGACAAATCTGACGAAAATGAGGAAAAAGTTTTTATACAAAAAAAATTTAAAACATTCCGCGTGCACCAAAACAGTAAATACTGATCGATAGAGAATCGAAGGACGAATTGATTTCTGTATTGATTTTTTTCCGGAGTACTTTCTATTGGACGCTGTGACGCAACAAACTCTGACAACTTCACAAAATCTGACAAAAAAGAGAAAAAAGTTTTTATACAGAAAAATTGTAAAATATTCCGTGTGCACCAAAACAGCTAATAGTGATCGATAGAGAATCAATTAAGGAATCGATCCTTATATTGATTTTTTTCCGGAGTACTTTCTATTGGACGCTGTGACGCAACAAACTTTGACAACTTCACAAAATCTGACAGAAAAGAGCAAAAAGTTTTTATACAAACAAATTTTAAAATATTCCGTGTGCACCAAAACAGCTAATAGTGTTCGATAGAGAAGCGATTAAGGAATCGATCGCAATATTGATTTTTTCCGTTGTACTTTCTATTGGATGCTGTGACGCAACAAACTTTGACAACTTCACAAATCTAACAAAAAAGAGAAAAAAGTTTTTATTCAAAAAAATTTTTTAAAAATTCCGTGTGCACCAAAACAGCTAATAGCGATCGATAGAGAATCAATTAAGGAATCGATCCTTATATTGATTTTTTTCCGGAGTACTTTCTATTGGACGCTGTGACGCAACAAACTTTGACAACTTCACAAAATCTGACAGAAAAGAGCAAAAAGTTTTTATACAAACAAATTTTAAAATATTCCGTGTGCACCAAAACAGCTAATAGTGATCGATAGAGAATCGATTATCGAATCGATCCCTGTATTCATTTTTTTCCGAAGTACTTTCTATTTGACATATTGACAAATCTGACGAAAATGAGGAAAAAGTTTTTATACAAAAAAATTTAAAACATTCCGTGTGCACCAAAACAGTAAATAGTGATCGATAGAGAATCGAAGGACGAATTGATTTCTGTATTGATTTTTTCCGGGGTACTTTCTATGAGATGCTATAACGTAAACTTTGACCAATTCACAAAGTAAAGGAAAAAGTTTTTGCACTATAAAATTTGAAAATATTCTGTGTGCACCAAAACAGCTAATAGTAATAGATAGGGAATCGATTAAAGAATTGATCACTCTATTGATTTTTTTCTGGGGTACTTTCTATAGGATGCTGTGATGTAACAGACTTTGACAAATTCTCAAATCTAACGAAAAATACGAAAAAGTTTTTACATAAACAAAATTTTTAAATATTCCGTGTGCACAAAAACAGTCAATAGTGATTGATAGGGAATCGATTAAGCAACCGATCCCTATATTGATTTTTTTCCTGGGTACTTTCTATTGGATGCAGTTACGCAACAAACTTTGACAAATTCTACACTACAAAATTTTAATTGTATTCTGTGTGCACCAAAACAGCAAACAGTGATCGATAGCGAATCGAGTAAGGAATCGATACCGATATTGACTTTTTCCTAGGTGCTTAAATAATATTTAAAAATTTTTAAACAGAGCTTTTCTAAATA